TTATGAAACAGGAAGAGGGACCCAGACGTAGAGGACAAACATATGGACACCAAGGAAGTAAGGGGCGGGGGCGGGCGGTGAACTGGGAGACGGGGACGGGCACACAGACACTCTCGACTCTAAGTATAAATAGATAGCTGGGGAGGACCTACCGCACAGCTCAGGCAACTCCACTCAGCGGCCTGCAGGGACATAAACGGGAAGGACATCCAAAGAAAGAGCGGATATGGGTATACGTCCAGCTGATTCACTTTGCTGTCCAGCCGAAACTAACATAACATTGGAAAGCCACTATACTCCTGTAAAAAAAATCAAGAATTCTCCCCAAATCGAACCCTGCAGAGGAAATCCTGTCTGACAGCCCCACGGAGGGAACCGTCTCAAGACCTGAGTCTTGATTTTGCAAAAGCAAGGGGACTTGGGGTTCCCTGGAATTCTCCCTTCCCGTGGCAATGGGCGGAATTAAAGTCCTGTCCCACTCCTAGTGTAGCCTGACCTTTCCCCCCCCTGTATTTCTGAACGTTTATTCCCCCTGTTTGTTCTTGTTCAGCTGCTAGGTCATGTCTGAATCCTCGAGACCCCAGTGGACTGCAGCCCACCAGGCTTCCTCTGTCCATGGGATTCTCCAGGCAAGAATACTGGAGTGGGTGGCCATTTCCTCCTCCAGGGGAATCTTCCCCAGCTAGGGATCGAATCCGCATCTCCTGTATCGCAGGCAGATTCACTGCAAACTTGAAAAGACGACCATTGCTTCTTTCTGGTCCTTCCATTGACAGGCCACACCCCCGAGATATCCTGACGCCAAGCCCATTTGGGATTATCACAAGAAAACACAGTTTAGGACATGACACGCTGCGCTTTTTATACTGAGTCATAATATGTGGCTGGGGAAGAACCATAAAAGACCGCACATAACTGATCCTACTTAAATCCAATCTCTCATGAAAACCCGCCTGCTTTCCATGCTGGAAATGAATGATTTCACTGACCTTTGCTGATTCTTTGAAAATTTATCAATTTTCTTACTCTTACTCATATGTTCCTACATGCCTTAGTCTACACGGTTTGTGTGTGTGTGTGTTTTTAGTTTATATTTTTATTGGAGTATAATTGCTTTCCTCATAGCTCACTTGGCAAAGAATCTGCCTGCCATGCAGGAGACCCCGGTTCGATTTCTGGGTTGGGAAGATCCACTGGAGAAGGGATAGGCTGCCCACTCCAGGATTCTGGCCTGGAGAATTCTCTGGACTGTACAGACCACGGGGTCGCAAAGAGTCGGACACGACTGAGCGACTTTCACTTACACTTTTTTACTGACTTCACTCTGAATGACACCTCCAGATGCATAGACATCCCTACGAATGGTGTCTTGGGCTTTATTTTTCAAGTCCAAAACCAGAGTCAAAGAACAAGGACAGCTGAAGGGAATCCCTGCACCCTGACATCCATGTCCCTCCCTCAAAGGCGGAAGCCGCCCTGCCAGCCAGATTTTCCTTTCGCACATCAGAAAATGTAACATTTCTGGAGAGGAAACTGGAACACACTGGCTTGGCCCCACAGGTCAAAAGCACAAAACGTCTGAGCATCTATTAAAGCCGGGGGACATGAGTTTGCAAGCACGCCTCCTGTGATGTAAAATAGCAGAATTCCAGGGGATTTCCCTGATGGTCCAATGGTTAAGACTCCACTCTGCCAGCGCAGAGGACACAGGTTCGATACCCGGTCGGGGAACTACACCCGACACGCATCGATGAAGAGTTTCAACATCACAACTAAAATGATTCCACATGAGTCAGAGAGCTCAACCCGGGGCTCTGTAACAAACCTAGAGGGCTAGGAGGGGGTGGGGAGGGGTGGGAGGTGGGAGGGAGGTTCAAGATGGAAGGGACTTGTATATACCTATGGCCGGTTCATGTCGATGTTTGGCAAAGAGCAACACAACTCTGTAAGGCAATTATCCTTTCGTTAAAAAATAAATAATTTTAAAAATATTCAACATGTAGCATCTAAGCAAGCAAAGAAACAAAAAGTCCCACAAGCCGGCACAAAGATCATAGATCCCAAGGGCTGCAAACGAAGACCCAGCGCAGCCAAATAAAGATTTTAAATGGAAAATCCTTTTTAATTTGGAAAATCCAAATAAAGATTTTAAATTCACTGGTTCATGTTGGGTTCCGACAGAAAGCAACAAAATTCTCTAAAGCAATTATCCTTCCATTAAAAAATATAGAAATGTGAAAAAAAATGGAGAATTCCAGATTTTTAGGCTATTAAAAAAGTGATTGGTTCACAAAGATCCACAGAGACCCACGTTCATAGCAGCACTGTTCACAGTAGCCAAGACAGTGATTTGGGGGCTCCAAAATCACTGCAGATGGTGACTGCTGCCATGAAACTAGACGCTTGCTGCTTGGAAGAAAAGCTATGAACAACCTAGACAGCATATTAAAAAGCAGAGACGTTACTTTGCCAACAAAGGTCCGTCTAGTCAAAGATATGGTTTTTCTAGCAGTCGTGTATGGATGTGATAGTTGGACCATAAAGAAAGCTGAGCGCTGAAGAATTGACACTTTTGAACTGTGGTGTTGGTCAAGACTCTTGAGAGTCCCTGGGACTGCAAGGAGATCCAACCAGTCCATCCTAAAGGAAATCAATCTTGAATATTCATTGGAAGGACTGATGCTGAAGCTGAAACTCCAATACTTTGGCCACCTGATGGGAAGAGCTGACTCCTTGGAAAAGACCCTGATGCTGGGAGAGATTGAAGGCGGGAGGAGAAGGGGACGACAGAGGATGAGATGGTTGGATGGCATCACCGACTCAATGGACATGAGTTTGACTAAACTCTGGGAGTTGGTGATGGACAGGGAGCCCTGGCGTGCTGCAGTCCATGGGGTCGCAAGGAGTCGGGCATGACTGAGTGAACAGAAGATACGGCAGCAATTCAAGGGTCCATCAACAAAGAAGATGTGGTACATACATACAGTGGAATATGACTCTGCCATAAAAAGGAATAAAGTCCTGCCACTTGCAACAACGTGGATGGGCTTTGGGGGGGCATTATTATGCATTAAGCCAGACAGAGTAAGACAAATATGGTATGCTTTCACTTACAGATGGAATCTGAAAAATACAACAAACCAGTAAATGTAACATAAGAAAAGAAACAGACTCGCAGATACAGAGAATAAACCGGGGGTGTGGCCAGTGGGGGAGAAGGAATCGGGGGGAGGGACGAGATAGGGAGAAGGCGTTGAGACGTACAAACCACTGTGTACAAAATAAAATAGTCACAAGGATATATTGTACAATACAGGGAACATAGCTAATATTCTGTAGCTACTTTAAATGGAGTGCATGCTAAGTCACTCGGCTGTGTCTGACTCTGTGCGACCCCATGGACTGTAGCCCACCAGGCTCCTCTGTCCGTGGGATTCTCCAGGCAAGAATCCTGGAGTGGGTAGCCATTCACTCCTCCAGGGGATCCTCCCGACCCAGGGATGGAACCCGCAGTCTCTTACGATCTCCTGTATTTGCAGGCAGGTTCTTTACCACTATCGCCACCTGGGAAACCCCAACAATATATTACTACCTGATATTAACACAACAATATTTTATTAATTAATTTTAATTATTAATTAATTGCTAATCGATTTTATTAATACAACAATGTTTTATGGTGTATTCCTCAATATGCAAGTTGACAGGAAGTGCCAGGCTGGTTTCATTACAGCCCAAATGGACTCTTCAGCTTCAGTTAGGCATTGGATAAGGGCGTGGCAACCCACCGCAGTCTTCTTGCCTGGAGAATCCCCTGGGCAGAAGAGACTGGTGGGCTACCGTCCACGGGGTCACAAAGAGTCAAACACAGCTGAGTGGCTAGCACTTGGTATAGTTTTCTGCACGGATTTAACGACCCGGAAGTGGGCCTCATCAAGTGTTTTTCTACTGCACTCAGACTCATGTCAGCCGTCAGCGGGGACCCTTCCCTCCATGTGACACCAGGATGATGCAGGGGAAGGGCGGGGGCGGGACGTCTGTTTACAACTGTCCAGTGCCGTGCTTGGGGGGGGTGCCAACCCAGAACCGAGCCCCACAGCTCCCGGAAAATGAACCTGTGTCTGCCAACCTCGTTTACAGCCAAAACAGCGTGCCAGCTGCCTACTGAAAGCTCCCTGAGTACAGATGTGGTGCAGGCAGGCACACACTTGTTTGCAGATTTTGAAAGGAAATGAGATGAAACGGAGAAAAACCCTGAAGAGCCCTAGACAGTTCTCCGGAACAGAATCTGATCCTCAAAGCTCGGAGGAGGGAGCACATTAGCTTCAAGAGGGTGAGTATTACATAGAGAACAAAGAATATTTGGATTTTTCCAGATAGGAGCATAGATATGAAGGGCTCTTCAGAGAATGAATGAAATCCCATCCACCACTTGAAAAACAAAAAAGCAAAAATTCAGCCAATTTGTTAGAGACATGTTTATGCTCCCAGGAAATCACAAATCCCATAATAATACAGCTTGCATCTTTCACTAAGAAGTAACATTCCGTTAACTTATTTGCATAATTAAGACTCATGGTTGGATCAGAAGAGATAAACCAGAAATCCAGGACTCCTGAATAAAAGCAGAACGTCCCAATCCACTGTGCACAGTCAGTGAAGTTTTTGACTGGCGAGTCCCCTTGACCCAACGGTCTATACAACCTGATATACAGTTTGCAAATATTTTTCACCCATTCTGCAGAGATACAGAAAATGTCTCTTTGCTGTATTCATTGTTTCCCTTGCTATGCAGAGGTCATTTTTTTTTAAGTTGGTGCAAACCCATTTGTGTATTTATTTGCTTCTGTTTCTATATTTTTCATATCAGTTCTATGGAGTCATTGATGCTGCCTGTGTGAATAAAACTCTCTTAATGTGTTTCTGGTGTTTGAGGATTTTCATATGGAATGCTGAAGTCTTTACTGCATTTTGAGTTAACAGGAAACCTAGGAACTCACCAACAGGCTAGCTGTTGACATAGCCGGGGGGACGCCTCTTCCTGCGGCCGTGGGTTCATGTGTGTGTTGTTCGTTTCTCAGTTCTGTGCAAGTAACACAAAGGAAAGGCAGCCAAGGTTAGTGCGGGTGATGCTGGGAGGGAAGTCTTGACCATCACCAGGCGTGCTGACGAGGTTACAAAGGCACCAGCCTCCTGGCTCCCAGGCTTGTGTTTCAACAATCGCTGTTGAGTCGCTCAGTCGTGTCCGACTCTTTTGAGACCCCCATGGACTGTGGCCCGCCAGGCTCCTCTGTCCATGGGATGCTCTAGGCAAGAACGCTGGAGTGGGTTGCCATGCCCTCCTCCAGGGGATCTTCCCCACCCAGGGGTCGAACCCAGGTCCCCTGCATCGGCGGGCTGATTCGTTATCCGCCGAGCCAGCAGGGAAGCCCTCAGTCATATGTGTGTTTCTATTTGTTTTTGCAGTCGTGTCCATTATAGGTTATTACATGATTCCCCTTCACTTTTAAACCTGGTCCTTGGGGGTCCCAGTCCTGATTGGGGAGGGTCTCTTGGGAGCTCCCCCATCCAGCTATGGGACTCGGGGGGGTGGTCACAAATACCCACCGTTTTCCAATGTCCTCAAAGCAAAATGCAGAGACCGCGGTCTCCTGAGCCTCTTGGGTTCTGCCGTCCCAATCCTCTTTGACTTTAGCTGAGTGCTTGACGGTGTCTGTCTGTTTTGGGTTGTGTTTCTTTCTGTTTCCCAACCCGGGATGGATTCCTTGGCCCCTGCAGCGGAAGCCTGGAGCCGCTGGACCGCCCGGGAAGTCCCTTGTTCTCCGTCTTTAAAGGCAGAATGACGCTCCACGGCGTGTACATATAGGACAGCGCGTGTTAATGAAGGGTCCAGAGCTAACGAGCCCTCAAGATCCCGGTGGACGTCTGAGCTTTGACGGAAGTAGTATAAAGTCTCTTTCTCCAGCACGTTCTTTCTGGAAGACTCCCTCATCCTCCACTTCAGTTGTCTGCCCTCACTTGCCTCTTCTCATTCAGAATTCATATGACAGACTTTTTAAAATAGGGAAGCCCCTTATCTATCACCCATCCAGCTAGCTATCAGATCTACCTACATGTCATGCCTATTTATCATATCTATCAATCCATCCATCTCCCCACCCACCCCTCCATCCATCCATTCATATGTATCTATCTATCCATCCATCCATCCATCATATCTCTCAGTCATGTCTATCTATCCATCCAGCCACCCATCCAACCATCCATCCATATGTATCTATCTATCCATCCATTCAACCATCATATCTATCTACCTATTACATTTATACATCCATCCATCACATCTACCTACCTATCATATCTATCCATCTATCCACCCACCTGTATAACCGTCCATCCATCATATCTATCCATCCATCCATCTACGCACCCACCTCTCCATCCACCCATCATATCTATCAATCATGTCAATCTATCTATCCATCCACCCACCCCTACATCCATCCATCCATCCATATGTATCTATCTATCTATCCATCCATCCATCCACCATATCTATCTACCTACCTATCAAATCTATCTGTCCTTCCACCCACCCACCCATCCAACCATCCATCCATCATATCTATCATATCTATCCATCCATCCAGTCATCCACCCACCCCTCCATCCATCCATGTCTATCTATCTATCCATCCATCCATCATATCTATCTTATCTATGTATCTGGGACTGCAAAGAGATCCAGCCAGTCCATCCTAAAGGAAATCAACCCTGAATATTCATTGGAAGAACTGATGGTGAAGCTGAAGCTCCAATCCTTTGGCCACCTGATGTAAAGAGCCAACTCAGTGGAAAAGACCCTGATGCTGGGAAAGATTGAGGACTGGAGGAGAAGAGGACGACAGAGGATGACACAGTTGGAGGGCATCACTGACTCAGTCAATATGAGTTTCAGCAATCTCCAGGAAATGCTGAAGAACAGGGAAGCCTGGTGGGCTGCAGTCCATGAGATTGCAGAGTCGGACATGACTGAATGACTGAGCAACATATCTATGTATTTATCATATCTGTCTATCCATCCATCCAACCAGCCAGCCACCCACCCCTCCATCCATCCATCCATCATACGTATCTATCAATGTATCCATCCATGCATCCATCATATGTATCTATCTATATGTCCATCCATCCATCCATCCATCCATCCATCCATACTATCTATCTATCTATCAGCTGTGACACATGGCATATGAAAGTCTTACTTCCCCAACCAGGGATCTAACCTGTACCTCTTGCTGGGCCAGCTTGGAGTCTTAACCACTGAACCACCAGTGAAGTCCCCGAGGACACATTTAACATGAGCTAAAGAAGTACAGATTCATAGTGCAGACATCATTTAAAAAAACAGGTTGAAAGTCTGGATTCTGGACAAAGCTGCCACTTTCCTTGGCCTCCTGGGTAAAGAAAAAGCAGTGGTATAAGATGTACAAAGGTCCGTCTAGTCAAGGCTACGGTTTTTCCAGTGGTCATGTATGGATGTGAGAGTTGTACTATAAAGAGAGCTGAGCGCTGAAGAATGGATGCTTTTGAACTGTGGTGTTGGAGGAGACTCCTGAGAGTCCTTTGGACTGCAAGAGATCCAATCAGTCCATCCTGAAGGAAATCAGTCCTGAGTGTTCATTGGAAGGACTGATGCTGAAGCTGAAACTGCAATCCTTTGGTGAACTGATGGGAAGAACTGACTCATTGGAAACGACCCTGATGCTGGGAGGGATTGGGGGCAGGAGGAGAAGGGGACGACAGAGGATGAGATGGCTGGATGGCATCACCGGCTCAGTGGGCATGGGATTGAGTAAACTCTGGGGGTTGGTGAAGGACAGTCAGACCTGGCGTGTTGCAGTCCATGGGGTCGCAAAGAGTCAGACACGACTGAGTGAACAACAACAAGGATGTACCCCTGACTGCAATCACACACGGAGCCACGCGGTGGCCCCTTGCACTGTACAGCCTTGGCCCGCATCCGAGGACCTGGAGAGGCTGGGACTTGGCGTTGGAGACGCCGGCACTCTGGGCTGCCGGCAAATGACAGTGGCATCTGGGTTGAGGAGGGAAGGGGGACAGAGGCTCTGCTCCAACATCAGTGGGTGTTTAAAATTCGGCAATGCATTTGCCAGGGGGGGGGGAGGGTGGGCATTTCTTCCTGAGGACCGGCAAGTGTAGGCGTGGATGAACTCCGTTATTATCGCCGAGGCAGGGGTTAGAGGGTGCGGCCCGCTGGGGGCGTGGGAAGGACTGGAGGTGGTGGGGAACGCAGGGGAGGACACCATTCACTGCCCAGAGAGCCCTGGGGGTAGGACCACAGCCCTGCCATGCCAGGGAGATCCTTTCCTGGAAGTCGGCCTGCATTTTCATAATATCGGTCATCTCTGCCAAGTTGGACATACTGTGTAGCGCTACTGGGGGGTGTCATCACAGATAATCAGCGGCCTCTGAGAAGCTGAAGGTTTTGGAGGAGGTCAACGGAAGATGAGGTCATGGAAATGTGGTATTTGACTCTGAATGATACAAAATGAAGATTGCAGAGCCAAAAGAACTACAAAGAGAGAGCTTTCATTCGCATCAGAGATCCCATTTCAAAATTTAACTTGGCCAAATGAATGAGCGAATCTGGCTAGATAAAGCAATGTTGTTTTTTTCCCCCTCTCCTAAGGATGTATGTTGTTGTTCAGCCGCTTAGTCATGTCCGACTCTTTGCGATCCCAGGGACTGCAGCACGCCAGGCTTCCCTGTCCAGCACCATCTCCTGGAGTTTGCTCCAACTCATGTTCATGGAGTCGGTGATGCCATCCAACCATCTCATCCTCTGTCGTCCCCTTCTCCTCCCGCCTTCAATCTTTCCCAGCATCAGGGTCTTTTCCAATGACTCAGGTCTTCCCATCAGGTGGCCAAAGTATTGAAGTTTCAGGTTCAACATCAGTCCTTTCAAAGAATATTCAGGGTTAATTTCCTTTATCACTGACTGGTTGGATCTCCTTGCAGTCCAAGGGACTCTCAAGAGTCTTCTCCAGCACCACAGTTCAAAAGCATCAATTCTTCAGTGCTCAGCTTTCTTTGTGGTCCAACGCTCACATCCATACATGACCACTGGAAAAACCATAGCTTTGGCTAGACCGGCCTTTGTCAGCAAAGTAATGTCTCTGCTTTTTCATATGCTGTCTAGGTCTGTCATAGCTTTTCTTCCAAGGAGCAAGCGTCTTTTAATTTCATGGCTGCAGTCACTATCTGCAGTGATTTTGGAGCCCAAGAAAGTAAAATCTGTCACTTTTTCCATTGTTTCCCCATCTATTTGCCAAGAAATGATGTGACGGGATACCTTGATCTTAGTTTTTTGCATGTTGAGAATTAAGCCAACTTTTAGCAAACACTGCTGGGCCATATTCAAGTCAACCCACTCATTAAAGGAAAAACTGTATATGGAATTAAAACCAATATACATATTAGTCCAAGAAAGCAAAGCTAAAAATGTCACAACCAAGATTTTGGCAAACTCTCCATGACTCAGATTGTTTGAGGTGCATCCATTATTTTTATATTCTCCTCCATTTCTCAAATCTGTCCACTCAAAAAAAGCATCTTGAAGGCTTATCTGTGAACAACTAGGCGTGATATATGATGAATTTTTTTGTGTGTGTGGCTAATCTTACATTGAAAAGAATTTTCAAACTGCCTAAATCCAGTAAATTCAGATAAAGCAATGTTTAAATTAAAAAATGTTTTGCTAAGATCCGGGATTATGTTTTTGGGTTCCAACATCACTGCAGATGGTGACTGCAGCCGTGAAATGAAAAGATGGCGCTTGCTCCTTGGAAGAAAAGTTATGAGCAACCTAGACAGCTTATTAAAAAGCAGAGACGTTACTTTGCCAACAAAGGCCCATCTAGTCAAAGCTATGGTTTTTCCAGTGGTCATGTATGAATATGAGAGTTGGACTATAAGGAAAGCTGAGCGCCGAAGAATCGATGCTTTTGAAATGTGGTGTTGGAAAAGACTCTTGAGAGTCCCTTGGACTGCAAGGAGATCCAACCAGTCCATCCTAAAGGAGGTCAGTCCTGAATATTCCTTGGAAGGACTGATGCTGAAGCTGAAACTCCAGTACTTTGGCCACCTGATGCAAAGAACTTACTCATCTGAAAAGACCCTGATGCTGGGAGTTTGAAGGCAGGAGGAGAGGGGATGAAAGAGGATGAGATGGTTGGATGGTATCACTGACTCGATGCACATGAGTCTGAGTAAACTCCAGGAGTTGGTGATGGACAGGGAGGCCTGGCGTGCTGCAGTCCATGGGGTCGCAAAGAGTCAGACACGACCGAGCAACTGAACTGACTGACTGAAGATCCGGGAAGAAAATGATAGAAGAAATTTGCCATCGCCGAAGCAGGATAAGATTTAGTCCCGGTGCCTGTGAGAAGTCAAAATGGAAACACAGATCTGAAGCTTGAATGTCTCTGGTAGTTCAGACAAGGCCTTGGCTTGGGGCCGTGGCTCAACCCCTGGTCCAGGAGGATACCGTGTGCTGTGGGGTGACTAAGCCCATGTTCCACAACTAGAGAAAGCCCACACACAGCCACGAAGACCAACACGGCCAAAATAATACCTACCTACACACATACATACCTGTGTGCATGCTCAGTCGTGTCTGACTCTCTGCGACCCCATGGACTGTAGCCCACCAGGCTCCTGGGTCCATGGGATTCTCCAGGCAAGAACACTGGAGTGGGTTGCCATTTCCTTCTCCAGGGGATCTTCCTGACCCAGGAATCAAACCTCAGTCTCCTGCATTGGCAGGTGGATTCTTTCCCATCTGAGCCACCAGAGAAGTCCACTGCATTGTGCACCTGAAAATTACATAATTTTGTAAATCTCAGTTCAGTCCAGTCGCTCAGTCGTGTCCGACTCTTTGCGACCCCATGGACTGCAGCACGCCAGGCCTCCCTGTCCATCACCAACTCCCGGAGCTTGCTCAAACTCATGTCCATCCAACCATCTCATCCTCTCTCACCCCCTTCTCCTCCCACCTTCAATCTTTCGCAGCATCAGGGTCTTTTCCAGGCAGTTAGTTCTTCGCATCAGGTGGCCAAAGTATTGGAGTTTCAGCCTCAGCATCAGTCCTTCCAATGAATATTCAGGACTGACTTCCTTTAGGATGGACTGGTTGGATCTCCTTGCTGTCCAAGGGACTCTCATGAGTCTTCTCCAGCACCATGGTTCGAGATTCCCAATGGATGGAATCTTGGGCAAATGCCAAGCTCTGTACTTTTTAGTTTATTCAGCAGGAGATTCCAATGTGCTGAGTTACACTGGTGCGGTTATCACGCAACAGGAATACACAGACACACATACACAGGCCCACACTCATGTTCATAGGCACACAGAGGCTTTGTAATTTCTGCAGGATGCTTCTGCAACATTTCTTACTTTGTTGAATACCCTCCTAGAGTGTATCCAGTTCAGAATGTCTAGAGAGTCAGTGGTGTGGAAAGTTGACGGTGTGGGAAAGTTGATGGTGTGGAACGACCATGCCCCAGCGAGGGAGACTCAAAGTCCAGTCTCTTTTCCTTCTTCTCTTTCTTACCACTGTCTTTTTATGTTTCAAACAGTGCGAGTTATCAAAAACCACGCCCTTCTGCCCACAGAGCCTGTGTGTGTGTGTCCGACTCTTTGCGACCCCATGGACTGCAGCCTGTCAGATTCCTCCGTCCGTGGGATTCTCCGGGCAAGAATACTGGAGTGGGTTGCCATTCGCAGATTTATGTTAATATCCTAACAGGCAAAGCGAGAAGGGGGTGGCAGAGGACAAGATAGTTGGATGGCATCACCGACTCAATGGACATGAGTTTGAGCAGACTCCAGGAGTTGGTGATGGACAAGGAAGCCTGGCGTGCTGCAGTCCGTGGGGTCGCAAAGAGTCAGACACGACTCAACGACTGAACAGCAACAATAACAGATCTGGAAGAAAACAGTTAAGTTTTAGGAACGCCTCTGAATGCATTGAACATGTTGGATCATGGGTGATATTTTCAGCGTGTTTCTAATCAAATCCATAAAGTCTGTTTTGGCTGTTTGTTGGCAAACTGCACATGATGCTTCCTCAGCAAGACGTGATGTTTGGAGGCTGAACCTGGGGGATCTGTGTTATTCCTCAAGGATGTGTGAGTTTCACGTGGTCACATATCACACTCACCTTAGCTTGGAGGGAGCACTGGGCCAGAATGCACACACACGGAGCACTGGGCCAGAATGCACACACACCGATCTCAGCTTGCCTGGCGGGGTCGACTGATAACCCGTTTCTGAGCTTTCACTCACCATCCTGTGATCCGAGAAATGTAGAGACTGGACTCAGTCATGCTTCTGCTTCTTCTACAGAGCTGTCATTCTTTTTCCCTTCCCTTCCTCCTTTTCTTAATTCTCAATAAGCAGCATTGCACTCTTCTTAAATAGGTGCTAGCTATCAAGGCAATTGAACCTCAAGTGTGCATATATGCATGTCTTGGAGATGCTGCTAAAATGTGGATTCTCCTTGAGTACTTCGGGGTGCATGTGTGGTAAGTCATGTCTGACTCTCTGCGACCCCATGGACTATAGCCTGCCAGGCTCTGTCCATGGGATTCTCCAGGCAAGAATACTGGATTGGGTTGCCATGTCCTCCTCCAGGGGAATCTTCCTGACCCAGGGATCGAACCTGAGTCTCCTGCACTGGTAGGAGAATTCTCTACTACTGAAGCCCTTAATTTGGGGTGAGGTCGTACTTTCTGCAAAGTTGATGGTAACTGGGGCTCCATGCGTTCAGCAAGGTGACAGATGGGATGATGCCAGATTAACTTTTTCTTTCTATATTTCAGCTTCCTTTTTAAAAACTGTTTAACTAATTTAATTCTTTCTGTAATCTTTTGAGACCATTTTTCGAGAGGACAATTGTGCAAGCATTCTTGGCGTTCGTGTTTAGAACATTTTCCATCCTACTTAAAAAAAAAAATTTTTTTTTAGATTAACTTTTTCTTTGTGAATAAAAATAACAAGTGACGGACAAAAACATATTCACAGGACAGGAAACTTTGGGTAGGGAAAGAATGCAATAATATTGCAATTGGGGAAAAGGAGATACTGCTCACATGACAGATACTTTCATCTTAAAACTCCTAGGTAGTACAAACAGTCTAGAAGATGAATAAAACATGAACTGCGTCTCACCTCAGCCAACGCCAAGCATGAGTCAGATTTTCTCTGTTGTTATGAAACAGTGCAAAGTGGTAAGACTCAGGATTCTTTGTCATAAATATTTTTCAAGGAGGGCATAGTCACTGCTAGAAATACATTGTTTTGCACACAATGTTTTTCACAGAGAGACTAAAATTTTCCTGTTCACTAGAGCATCGCATCCCAAACTTTTCATCCCCAGGGTTCACTTTTACGGGAGACAATTTTTCCACAGACCGTGGTGGGGGTCAGCTCCGTTCAGTTCAGTTGCTCCGTCGTGTCTGACTCTTTGCGACCCCATGGACTGCAGCACGCCAGGCTTCCCTGTCCATCACCAAGTCCCAGAGCTTGCCAAAAGTCATGCCCACCAAGTCTGTGATGCCATCCAACCATCTCATCCTCTGTTGTCCCCTTCTCCTCCCAACTTCAATCTTTCCCAGCATCAGGGTCTTTTTCAATGAGTTAGCTCTTCGCATCAGGTGGCCAAAAGATTGGAATTTCAGCTTCAGCATCAGTCTTTCCAATGAATATTCAGGAGGTGGTGGGGGCAGGAGGAGGTAGTTTGGGGATGTTTCAAGCACACTACATTTATTTTGTACTTCATTGCTAATCTAATGCCGCTGCTCATCTGACAGGAGGTACTAGTCCAAGGCCCAGGGCTCGGGGACCCCTGCACAAGAGTCCCTGGGGAGACCAAAACACTTCCCTGTGCCTGGATTTGACCTCAAGAGATTTTAATTCAACGGCCAGGGAAGATAATACAGGCGCTGGGATTTTTGCAAGCTCTCTGGATTCTGAAGCCTGCAGTCCAGTTTCAGAATGACTGTTTCTTGGGGGTCAAGTGAGATTCTAAAACTCTCCTTGGGGTCATCCCATAAAGCCCAGAGCCCAGATTTCTTCTTCTTCTTCTTCTTTTTTTTTTTTCCAAAAGCAAGAGTGTTTTCTGTTTTCTCGCCAGCAAGCAGGAATGAGCAAATTCAGATGGCTTTGTCCTTGTCCGCAGTGAACGGCCACGTCTGCTGCAAACTGGCGTTTGCCAGCGACTGAATGAAAACAAGAAGGGCATCTGCTGTCTGCCTCTGGGGAGACTGAACCCCGAGCTGCTGCAGCTGATGACCGCCGACACCCCAAGAAGTTCAGGGTGGGGAGAGAGGCCCTCTGTGGCCCAGGGAACCTGGAGGAACACGTCTTGGTTGCTGTGTTCAGTCACTCAGTCGTGTCCGACTCGCTGCGACCCCTTGGACCGCAGCACGCCAGGCCTCCCTGTCCATCACCACCTCCCGGAGCTTGCTCAAACTCAAATCCATCGAGTCGGTGATGGGCCTGGAAATTCATGGTCCAAGTCCCGGAGGGTTGACTGTCCATGTAAATCACCTATCTATCTGCGTTTCTTCTCCTCCGAGGAAGATTTATCTGTTCTCCCCCATTATGGATTTATCTAATCACTTATTTATGTCCATAGAGATGAATGGTTATTTCTTTTATACTTTGGGTTATGATCCGACCTTCCTTTATTTATTCTGTTGCTGAAAAATCAAAGCATCAATCACGTCTCCCAAAACCCCACTGCATGTTGCATAAGCCATTCTGGATTTTTACCTCCCAGGACTGTGATGGGGGGCGGAGAAAAAGAAGGGGATTGATTTCCACAGTGTGGCCTCTGTGCAGTGCTCCGTAATTAAAATAGGATGGGACATTGTTTGTCAGTTACACTGAAATAAAAATGAGGAAAAAATAAAAACAAACCATGCTGTGACCAACTGAGTCACTGGGAACACATCTGATAAACACTACTATCATGGAAACTTTCTAACACTCAGGGTTAAGATCAGACTCTAAGAATGTTGGTGGTAAAACAAAGAAGTATAACAGAAACATCTCCAAGACACTGAAAAAAGAAATAGCTCTGGACAAGCTAGCCAACCAAGAGGGAAAAAAATAAATAATAAGAATTAAAAAAAAAAAAAAAAGATTTTCTAACCCTTCTGGGTAGAACAGAAGTCACTGCCTTGAGCTTCCTCTGATGACTGAATTCAGTTGCAAATTTACCGAAGACTGAGTTATTTGATAAGTAACCTCTTAACCTACCAGAAAAAAGCTCACTCTAAGAATAAGATCGGAATGTATCACCTATGTAAACAGAAACACATTTTCAGGTTTGGTGGTTTAGCTGCAAAGTTGTGTCCAACTCTTTAGACCCCAGGGACGGTAGCCTGCAAGGCGCGTCTGTCCCTGGGATTCTCTAGGCAAGAATACTGGAGTGGGTTGCCATTTCCTTCTCTAGGGGATCTTCTCAACCCGGGGAATCGAACCCACGTCGCCTGCATTGGAGGCAGATTCTTTACTGACTGAGCTACTTTTTTCAATTGAAGTGCAGTTGATTTACAATATTGTGTTCATTTCTGCTGAACAACATCAAAACAAACAATCCAGACCAAAAATGGGCAGAAAACCTAAACAGACATTTCTTCAAAGAAGACATACAGATGGCCAAGAGGCATAGGAAGAGATGTTCAACACCACTGAATGTTAGAGAAATGCAAATCAAAACTACACTGAGGTATGTCACCTCACACCAGCCAGCATGGCCATCATCAAAGAACCTAGAAACAGTAAATGCTGGAGAGGGTGTGGAGAA